TTCCAAACAAAAATATTCACAAAACAATAATTTTTTTAAACAGTTATGTAAGTATTACAAACCTTTATTGAAGGCTAATGCTCTCTTCTGGAAGATAGGGAGGAGGAAAGAGGGAGAAGTTAGTGTTTGGAAGGGGAACCCCCCTCCATAAAGACTTTAGGTAGCAAAGCCTTCTCTGGGGTTACTTCTCTTCACTGTCTTTTATTGCCACTAGGACAAGCTTGAAAGTCACTGGACCCCTATCTCACAAAATAACTGTGCAGAGTGCTCTGTTTCTGGCGTCTGTTTAAGATTTCCCTGAAGTGGGACAGGGTTTTGTCACTAAACATGTTGCAGATATGGCTTGTTTCAGCTTTGTCAGGGTGGTGTTTCTCTACAAAAGCTTGCACCCTAGTCCACACTGCACACACCTCTTTAATCTCTGAAGAAAGCACCTCCTTCACTCCCTCTTCCTCCTCCTCTGAAGCAAGCTCCTCAGCTGCAGTCTGTTGCTGTTCGAGATGAAGCTCTTCAGTGGTTAGCTCTTCCCTGTGGTCCTCCACCAACTCTTCCACATTCTTGCCACTCACCTCCAACCCCAGGGACTTCCCCAGTGCCACAATAGAGTCCACAGGGTCAACAGGGTCAGAGTCAGCCTCAAACCTTTCAAAATCACTCTCTTGGACACAATCTGGGCACAGTTTTCTCCAAGCAAAGTTCAAAATCCTAGAAGTCACTCCCTCCCAAGCCTTACCTATAAGGCTTATGCAGTGGAGGATAGTGAAGTGATTCCTCCAGAACTGTCTTAAGGTCAACTGAGTGTCTGTGATCACTTCAAAGCACTTTTGAAACACTGCTTTTGTGTAGAGTTTTTTTGAAGCTAGAAATGACCTGCTGGTCCATGGGCTGGAGGAGAGGTGTGGTGTTAGGAGGCAAGAACTTCACTTTTATAAAATTGAAGTCCCTAAACACTTGATCTTCCAAGTCTGGAGGATGTGCAGGAGCATTGTCCAGTACCAGGAGGCACTTGAGTGGCAATTTCTTTTCTAGGAGGTATTTTTTCACACTTGGGCCAAACACATCATTAACCCACTCCCAATCTATTCTTCATGACATCGTTCTTCTTGAACACTCTGGGATTTTATGAGTAATACACGAGTAAAGGCTTCGCTTTGAAATCCCCATTAGCATTACCACACAACAAAGAGTAAGCCTGCCTTTCATAGGCTTGTGTCCTGGCAGTGCCTTTTCCTCTAGGGTAATGTAGGTCCTGTTTGGCATTTTCTTCCAAAACAGGCATGTTTCATCACAATTAAACACTTGTTGGGGTTCGAATCCTTCAGCCTTTACATAGTCTTGGAATTCATGAATATACTTTTCAGCTGCACATTTGTCAGAACTTGCAGCCTCACCATGCCTTACAACACTGTGTATGCCACTATGCTTCTTAAATCTATCAAACCATCCTTAACTGGCCCTAAATTCACAAACTGCAGCACTTGTTCTAGGTATTTTCTTCGCAAGATCCTCATGCAACTGCTTTGCCTTCTCACAAATGATCGACTCCACAACCCTGTCTCCCACTAATTCTTTTTCCTTAATTCACAATATTAATAACTTTTCCATCTCTTCCATTATTGGTGGCCTTTGTTTAGTTAGAAAAGTTACTTTTTTTGCAACATTAGCATCTTTGATTTGTTCTTTCTTTGCCAGGATGGATGTAATTGTTGATTTATTCTTGCTGTACATCCTGGCAAGTTCCACCACCTTCATACCACTCTCAAACTTTTCTGTCACTTCATTCTTAAATTCCACGGTGTTTCTCACTTTCTTTATCACAGGAACTTTACTAGGAACTTTCTTTGGAGCCATCTTTACTTATTTCACAGTAAATAAGCAAAATGTTTGGATGTATGAGCAGAAGCTTCCTCAGCCACCGAGAGACAAAGCCAAACTGAAGTGCAAGCTGCCCCAGCCAGTGGATGGGCGTGTCCAAAACGGCCGATAACCAGGGGCTGAAAAACCCGCTGATAACCAAACCGGCCGGTAACCGGGGGTCCACTGTATATTAAAAACACACTCCATAGGATAAGGCAGTAGTCAGATAGTGTGATTTAATGTCCCATGTTATTGGTCAATTTTGTTGAATTCCACTGTTAGTATCATCAAATTGTAATAAGCTTGGAACAAATAAGGTGTCTTGCCAGTACAGGTGTCTCCTTGCAACAAAATTTGCTTGTGTACATGTACTGTTAAGGCAGTGTTACCCACATTGCATTGTGTGTACCCATGTCTCCCAACAGTTTTTTTTACCTAGGCATGTGGCCTAGGTAAAAATTATGCTTAAATAACTAACACACGTTTGGTCCTTTTCCAAAATGTACTTATCAGACAGTTTGGACCCTCTGCATAAATTTACTTCTCACACAATTTGGACCCTCCTGGATAAATTTACTTCACACAGTATATAGGGTCTCTGTAATCAGATGCATAACAGGCTTAATAGATAGTAATATATTCACATTCATTTATTAGCTTTTAATGAGCACATGTTAGGATTTGATGCATAGTCACAGTTGGCACTGTATGACCCACTCCATATTTAGGTGATTACCCATGAGTTGAATTATGGTATATAATGAAGCATCAGTAACAAAAAGGCACAAACCATGACTGGAACAATACACAAATAACCTGCACATGGAATAGAGAAGCTTACAACGACATTTCGGTCTGTCTTGGACCATTTACAAAGTCACACTGCAACTTTGTAAATGATCATAATGACACGATTACAAACAAACCATACCACGGGTGGGGTTAGAACCCACTATCAGAGAATCAAACTCCAGACAGTCACATTAGCCACTGGGCCAGCTAGCCACAATTGTGGCTAACGCGTCAGTCTGGAGTTTCATGACTCTGATCACAGGTTCAGACCCCACCCATGGTTTGGTTTGTTTGCAGTTGTGTCATTATGATTTTGTGAGTTTTGTAAATGACGACTGAAACATCATAAGCTTATTTTTTCTATGTGCAGGCTATTTGTGTAATGAAGCATCTTTGTGATAAATTGGAAGGCCATCTGTTTCAGTAATTCTTTACAAAACATTATTAAGTGGAAGCACGAAAATTTTAATAAAAAGGATGATCAAGGTCATACTGCTAACATATCTTGGTTTTGCCTTCAGAATGTTATAAATCAGTCCAGTACTACAAATGTACAGTCAAGTCCAAGCAAGATAAGGCAGTTGCAAAATCAAAATAATACACCAAATGAAAATCTTTCCAAGGTGAGAAGGAATTAATTTACAGTTCTGCAGTTTTTATGTCCAGCAGGTCATATATCATTTTTAATAATGTTTTCATGTTAGTTTCATGGATTCACAAGTTTCAGGGTGATAATTCAGTTCCTAGTATTCCTTATGTAATTTAGTGGCATTCCTGTGTATCTTGCCTGATGTGTCCTTCACTGCAAGAAATTTGAATGGTCATTAATTACACAGTGAATGTATAAATATCTTTTTTTTTTAACTCAGGTACAAAGTGGAGGGTGTCCAGGTATGACCAGAGAAATGCTTCCTGAAGATGTGATCACATCAACGCCTGCTGTGGAACAAAATAAAACTCGGGGTCATTTGCACAGTGTAGAAGAAGGCAGTTTCTTTGGAGTTGGCAAACATAAAGATGGCTCAGATCTTGGTATGAAAAACTTTTTATAATAGTAATGTTTCTTGTAGTTGGAAAGTCTTGTTGCATGTTATCAGAGGAATAAATAATGAGCACAAAATTTTAGTTTGAAAATTAAAAAAAAAGTGATGAGCGATAAGTTAAATATGTATGCGCATAAACTGATTATGCAGAAAAAGTGTGTGCTCACGATAACCCAATGTTTTAAATATATAATGCTGAAATCTGTGCATGTTCCTCATCTCAGCTAGTATTTCGTAAGATTACCCTTCGTCTTGTAAAATACCATAGGTCTCCTGGACACTAATAAGCCTAACTATGGAGAATAAAAAAGGCTCTCCCACACCTTAATAGCACTCAAGATTTTGGAGGTCTAGGACACATCCATGCCATGAAGCTTAAGTTTACAAGTGCTCTCTATTATATTAAAGTCTTTCAAGTTTCCAGGCCAATCATTAAAGTATGGAAAAAATATATAATTTGACCAATTCTTTGTCTTTGGTAGTATAGCAAAGGGCACCATCTTCCATGTAAGCATTACCCTGGCACTTTTTTAATCTATCAGGCAAATAGTCTGCTAAAGGCATATATATGGTTGTACATATTTATGAGGCCTATATGTGATACAAAATTTCATGTTTCGTGTACAAAGCTTATTATAGCCATGAACATTGACCTGAAATGAGAAAGGTGTTTCTGGATTTGCCCTAGAGAGATGGAGAACTGGACAGTTTAAGGGTAGTATTGTATTTTAAAAACTAGATAATATAAGGAATTTCATGATAAGCTTGCCAGAAATATACAAAAAGTATGAGGATAAAGGTATGGAGCACAGAGCTGAAATAAGGGTGGAGACTTACTCAGGACAAGAAAGAGCTGGAAATAAGGATGCAGGACATTGTGCAAAATACAAAGAAGGAAGAGATGGCAATAGCAGAGAAACAGAACACACTAGAGAAATATGCCTCAGGGAAAGGTAGACAAGAAAATCCAGACCACCTTAGAAAATGAGGATGAGCTTACCACAGACAATGTAGGCAGTAAGAACATCTATGAATATTATGCTGAAGGGATGTGCAAATATGGGAGAGAATGCTGGTCTTACCACACCAGAAACTGTTGAAATGTGCTAGGGAAGGGGAAGTGCCACTTTAAAAAGGAATGTGGGTACTTACATCCAGAGATATGCAAAAACTCAGTGCAGCTCAGAGAATGTTATGACCTCACCTGCTCAGGAGATCAAGAAAAGGGGCCGAACTGGGAAGAATAACCAGTGGTACAGCAGTGTACAACAGTGGAACAAACCAAACTAGTCATACTCAACAGGGTTGAGTATACAACAGACAGGTGTACAACACATACTGGGAAAAGCAAGGATATATACACCGGGTGCCATACCAGAACATCTCAAATGACAAATATTTAGGGTTTGAAGTCAAATAAAAATTACAGAGTTAGCTATATTAATGGGCTCTTCACAGAATCAAGTGCTGTGTTTGGAGCATTCACAGAACAAAAAAAAAATTAATATGTATACATGTGATAGAGTTAATAGGTCACAGGGAAGAGGACTGTTTGTTAAAGATTGTTGCACAAAACTGTTGATTATCAAATGATGCAGTAGAAAAGCATTTGACACATGAAATCATGGGATGATTTTACACAAAATGAGAGCTATAGGCATAATGAGGTAGGCAAGTATATTTTCATCTTTCTGATAGATAGAACACAAAGAGTAGTAGTAAACAGAGCAGAATCCAGTATTACAAGCTTAGTACCCCCAAGGCATGGTCCTGGTGAATTTTTTTTTTTTTATTTTTTTTTTTCAACAAGTCGGCCGTCTCCCACCGAGGCAGGGTGACCCAAATAAGAAAGAAAATCCCCAAAAGAAAATACTTTCATCATCATTCAACACTTTCACCTCACTCACACATAATCACTGTTTTTGCAGAGGTGCTCAGAATACAGCAGTTTAGAAGCATATACGTATAAAGATACACAACATATCCCTCCAAACTGCCAGTATCCCAAACCCCTCTTCTAAAGTGCAGGCATTGTATTTCCCATTTCCAGGACTCAAGTCCGGCTATATAAAAATAACAGGTTTCCCTGAATCCCTTCACTAAATATTACCCTGCTCACACCAACAGCTCGTCAGGTCCCAAATACACCATGCGTCTCCATTCACTCCTATCTAACACGCTCACGCACGCTTGCTGGAAGTCCAAGCCCCTTGCCTACAAAACCTCCTTTACCCCCTCCCTCCAACCTTTTCGAGGACGACCCCTACCCCACCTTCCTTCCCCTACAGATTTATATGCTCTCCATGTCATTCTACTTTGATCCATTCTCTCTAAATGACCAAACCACCTCAACAACCTCTCTTTGGCCCTCTGACTAATACTTTTATTAACTCCACACCACCTCTTAATTTCCACACTCCGAATTTTCTGCATAATATTCACACCACACATTACCCTTAGACAGGACATCTCCACTGCCTCCAACCGCCTTCTCGCTGCAGCATTTACAACCCAAGCTTCACACCCATATAAGAGTGTTGGTACCACTATACTTTCATACATTCCCTTCTTTGCCTCCATAGATAACGTTTTTTGTCTCCACATATACCTCAATGCACCACTCGCCTTTTTTCCTTCATCAATTCTATGATTAACCTCATCCTTCATAAATCCATCCTCTGACACGTCAACTCCCAAATATCTGAAAACATTCACTTCTTCCAATTTGATATCCAATTTTTCTTTATCTAAATCATTTTATACCCTCATCACCTTACTCTTTTCTATGTTCACTTTCAACTTTCTACCTTTACACATAATCCCAAACTCATCTACTAACCTTTCCAATTTTTCTTTAGAATCTCTGTGAGTAATAACATTGGCTGACCTTTCTTTCAATGAAGACACTAAGGCAAATGTCGCAACAGCCAAGAAACTGATAGGATAATACTGAGAACTTCCAAAACATGGGAAATGTTCTTAATGGTGACACTTCTATAGTCTCGTTGAGAGTATTGTTGTGTGTTGATGGCTCTGTTCGAGGCAAGAGAGATATCAGAGCTGAAACAGATAAAGATCATTTAAGGCCCACATAGAGATAATGAAGCATTTAAATTACTGGGAACTCTTCAGAGTCCCAAATGTATACTCTGAAGCTAAGGAGAGAGAGATATACATACATGGAAAGTACATGAGGGCCTAGTCCTAAATCTGCAGGAAGTGTACAATAAACCCAGTGAAAAGGAACATTGTATCAACATCCATGGCCCTTGACTATTCAACATCTTATCATATGATTCTGAAACACTGCTGAAACAAAGATAGAAGCCTTTAAGAGGAAACTAGATAAAGTGTCTCCACCAAGTGCCAGATCAACCAGGCTGTGATGGATACATAGGCCATTGGGCTGGCAACAGCAACAGCCTAGCTGACCAAGCAAGCACCAAAGGAGCCTTTCCCAAGGCTGGGCTTCAGGAGTAGAAAAACTCTTTGAAACTCATCAAAGGTATAAAGATACATCAGTGGCAGATAGACATACAGTAGGGCCCCGCATTATTTCAAATTATGACCAAAACTCGCTATATGGCTCCCTCCACCTGACTTTCTAATACGGTCACCATGCCCCACCCTGTTTGTTTACATTCTTCGTGAGCTCTGCGTCTCTCCATTATGTCTAGAAACTTTCCAAAATTTCAAGTGTTTTAAACTTAATTCATGTTTTACATAGTGAGGACCCTCGAGTTTCGGCAGCATCGACTCGTGAAATCCGACTTTCGGCAAGTTTTTTGGGCAAAATTTGGCCTCGAGTTTCGTGATTAGACTCGTGATTCGGCAACTGTCCGGTACCCGTCCGCCCATCACCGTGCACACAAAGCTAGTCTCCCACGCCATTCACGCTCAGTGTGCCATTGTTTACCAACACGTGACCATCACCCCACGGGTTCATACGTAATAATCCATTGTTTTTTGTGATTGCAACTGTTAAATAAGTCACCATGGGCCCAAGGAAAGCTAGTGCAAGCCCTTTGGTAAAAAAAGTGAGGAACACAATCGAATTCAAGAAGGAAATCATTGAAAAATATGAGAGTGGAGTGCGTGTTACAGAGCTTGCCAGGATGTATGGCAAACCTCATTCAACCATCACTTCAATCGTGGTGAAAGGAAAGGAAATAAAGTGTGCTGTTTTTGCAAAAGGGTTAGATATACTGACAAAAAGGAGATCACAAATCCTCGAAGAAGTGGAGAGGTTATTGTTGGTGTGGGTTACCAAAAAACAATTAGCAGGAGATAGTGTTACGCAGTCGATAATATGTGAAAAGGCAAGGCAGTTGCATGACGATCTCGTAAAGAAAATGCCTGCAACAAGTGGTGATGCTTGTAATTTTAAGGCCAGCAAAGGTTGGTTTGAGAGATTTAAGAAGCATAGTGGCATTCTCAGTGTGATAAGGCATGGTGAGGCTGCCAGTTCTGACAAAATTGCAGCCGAGTAGTTTGTACAGGAGTTTAAGGAGTGCATAGACACTGGAGAATTCAAACCCCAACAATTGTTTAATTGTGATGAAACAGGCCTCTTTTGGAAGAAAATGGCAAAGGAGGACCTACATCACGCAGGAGGAAACGGCACTCCCAGGACACAAGCCTGTGAAGGATAGGCTTACTCTCATGTTTTGTAGTAATGCTAGTGGGGATTTTAAAGTGAAGCCTTTACTGGTGTATCACTCTGAAAATCCCAGAGTGTTCAAGAAAAACAGTGTCGCCAAGAGTAATTTGTGTGTGATGTGGAAGGCTAACAGTAAGGCATGGGTCACAAGGGATATTTTCCTTGACTGGTTTAATGAAGTGTTTGGCCCCAGTGCGAAGAAATACCTCCTGGAAAATAAACTGTCACTCAGGTGCCTCCTGGTAATGGACAATGCTCCTGCTCATCCTCCAGACTTGGAAGAGCAAATAGTGGAGGAGTTCAGTTTTATCACGGTGAAGTTCTTGCCC